GCAACAAAATGGCAGATGAAATTCAGTGTTGATAAAAGCAAAGTGATGCACATTGGAAAACATAATCTCAACTATACATATAAAATGTTGGGGTCTAAATTAGAAAGCGATTTTGGAGCCATTATGGATAGTTCTCTGAAAACATAAGAACATAAGAATGGCCATACTGGGTCAGACCAAACATCCACTCAATGTGCAGCGGCAGTCGAAAAAGCAAACAGAGTGCTGGGAATCATTAAGAAGGGGATAGATAGTAAAACAGAAAATATCATATTGCCTCTGTATAAATCCATGGTACGCCCACACCCTGAATGCTGCGTGCAGATGTGGTCGCATCATCTCAAAAAAGGTCCATTAGACTTGGAAAAGGTTCAGAAAGCGGGGCTTGGGATGGTCCCAGGAGCTTCTGCTGGTCTCTGCCAAGACCTACCAGTAAGCTTTGGTCTGGTCCTGCGTTTCTTGCCTTTTGATTCAGGCGCATGTGGCAGATCCTTCTCTGGGTCTAGGTGCTCAATCCCAGAGGAGCCCTGCCCCCTGAGCACTGCTCAGAGCATCACGGTAAAGAAATGGGGTGAAATTCACAGTGGCCCAGCCATGCACGGCCTATGCACCATTTGAGGGGGAATTTCCACACCGGCTTTAGATGGTGTCACCATTCCTCAGATGTTGCTAGGTCCTTGTTTTATCCCTGGAGCTCATCTACCGACTTCCCAAGGGTGCCTTCTTGAATGTTGTGGATGCGCCCGATCGCACAGGTATCGTCAAAACATTTTCCCCTGGGAGGATCCCCCAGCGCCCCCTGTTCCACATGGTCCCTCTTCACCCCCATATCAAAGTTCACTAGCTAACCCCTGCACTGCATTATAAATATGAATAGGATTAGGGACAAGGAACATGGAATAAACATTGCCGGAAATGCACTTAACTTCAGCGTGTTTGCCAAGCAGGGCTGCCTCCCTCCAGGGTATGGGAAAGTGGCTTTTGTCTCACTGGGAAAGCAGACCAATGGATTCCCCAGTTTCTGGTGTCCCTCTTTGCAGCACACCCAGTCCTGGGAAATGGGATTAAGCAAAATCACAGGAAGAATAATTGTGTGGGAGTAAATTGTTCGAATGTCACAGCAATGAGCTCATAGTGTGTGTGTGTGTGTGTGTGTGTGTCTACATGGCTATTTGTCTAGTGCTAGCACAGGCCTAGGTCTGCAGACCAGGGCTGGGCACCATGGTGCTATGGGCAGGGTAGACATACCCGTATAAAAACAGGGTCTGATTCTCCTCTCCCTGATCATTGATTTTACACTGTGTAACCCCACTCCTGTCCGTAGAGTTATTCCTGATTTGTCCTGGTGTGAGCCAGTGTGGTGGTAGACACCCCGTGGGCACAGGACTGGGGCTCAGGACACCTGGGTTCTGTCCTGGCTCCGCTGCTCGGTGACTGTGGGCAAGTCATGCCCCCGCCCTGTGTTTCTATTTTCTCTCCCAAACATCTCCTTTGTCTGCCTAGACACTGAGCTCCACATGTGCACGCAGCACTCTGCACAGTGGGGCCCCAAACTCAGTGGGTCCCTCTAGGTCCTGCCGCAATGATGGGCAATCACTCGTTCCCGAGTATGATCATCTTCCATGGGAGTTATGGGTCCTCAGGTGGCTAATAAGGCCAATCCTTGAACCCCAAGTTCTATTTCAATGAGGGCAGATGTTTTCGGACTCAGCAGGAGGCTATCGACCATGACTGGAAGCCAGTCTCGCCATCCTCCTGTGCCTCTTGCCCTCTTCAGGGGAGGGATAGCTCAGTGGTTTGAGCATTGGCCTGCTAAACCCAGCGTTGTGAGTTCAATCCTTCAGAGGGCCACTTAGGGATCTGGGGCAAAAATCAGTACTTGGTCCTGCTAGTGAAGGCAGGGGGCTGGACTTGATGACCTTTCAGGGTCCCTTCCAACTCTATGAGATAGAATACCCTCTTCCTGCTGCAATAAAATCATAATAATATGAGAGCCTGAATGGGCAGCAGATGGGATTAAGGTCTGAGGGCAAGGTTCATTCTGGCACTTCCTGCCTTGTATTCTTGACCCTGCAGCTTTAATCGTTAGGTAGAGGCATGTACATGTATACACACAATTGAGTCCTTCGTGCTCATCACAGATTATGTGCATCCCCTGTGCAGAAGCTAAAAGCTTATGGAGAAATGGGGAGTACTTGCTTGACACACAGGTTAAAAGGAGGGGAAAGAACCCAAAAAGAAAGAGCTGTCAGAAGCCTGCCATTGCTGGCCCCATCCTCTGTGAATTTATCTAGTTCCTTTTTGAACCCTGTTATAGTCTTGGCCTTCACAACGTCCTCTGGCAAGGAGTTCCACAGGTTGACACATGTTAATCTGGGCTCCAATAGCAAGGCTATGAACTGAACCATGGAGACAGCTGGGGCCGGGGGACACCTGCGAGAGAATCCCACAGATGGGATGGATGCTTGACCCAGGATACGCATGTCTCATGTGGGACTTGGGTTGCAGGACATGGGACAGACAGAAGCTACTACCTGGGCTGGGGCTGTTACTAGCGGGGGAGCACCAGAAGTGAGTGCCATTGAAACACGGAGGGCCATATCCTGCTCTCATTTACATGGGTGCAACGCCTATTGACTTCATTGGGAATCACACCCATGCAGATCGGAGCAGAAGTTGGCTCCCTGTGGCAAATCTGACATGATGTGTCCGGGTTATGTCTAAGACATATCACCGTCAT